ACTACTGAACTTAGCGGTGGAAGGCACTTGTGACAACAATGCATGTGGATGTGTAACCACAGTCATGTCCTGTTTAGTAACTTCATTGACAGCATGGAGATCCTGAACCATGCGACATTAATCTGGTTTGCCTTTTTTCAGTTTTATTCTTTACAGGAAACAGGGTATTACACTGTGAAACACATCTGATTAATGCTCCTTTTGCAACCAGACTTTCAACTTGCTTGGAGAAGACAAGAGCTTGTGCATGTTTCAAAGGGTACTGTGGTCGCCGTGGCGGGGTAGCTCCTTCCACTGCTGATGAGATAGGAAGGTGAGTAGCTGCAATGGATTGTCTTTGGGTAGGTCTGTTATTTGAGGGACGGAATGGTCTAAGCTCTGGCACATTATCGTCCCTAGGTGGGACTGGGAGACCATGGTAACTGACAATGTCAAGTGAGTTGGGGATCGGAGCTATCGGGGTGTCGGAACCGTAGGGTCAACAGCGGTAGTCTGGGGGGGGGGGGTAGCTAATTGGGACGTAGTGGGATGGAAACCTGAGGCAACGGGGGAAGCAACAGCAGCCTTAGGTTGTCCTGACGTGACAGACTCATTTGTCCCAACAATTATGTGCAGATAACTGGGGATGTGTATCGGAGGGGCAGGAACAGGGACCAGAGTGGGTGAAGATGCGGGTTGGGTAAACTATGCAAGATCGTGGGTAGAAAGCGATGCAAGGTCATGGGAGACAGGAGAGGTAGAAGGATCTGAAACTAAAGCAATAGGGATGGGTTGCGGAGTAGATGGCGAGAAGGGGGGGTATGGGAGAGGAAAAGGTTCTCGAACAGGAGTAGGAGGAATGGAAGGGAGTGGGGAAGGGGGAGTGGAACCGAGAGAAGCGGCAAGGGCTGAGATGAGAAAGGAGAGATCGGGGGAAAGGGAGGATACAGGAAATGAAGGGTCTGGAATGGGGACAGTGGGAATGGAAGGAGGTGGAGGAATAGGAGCCAGGGTTGGTGGGAGCGCAGTGGTAAGGGCGGAGACTAGGGAGGAAAGATCGAGAGGGTGAGAGGGTGAGAGGATGCGGGAGGTGATGAAGGTTCTGGGATGGGTGCAGGGGGAAGTAGGAGGGGGTGGGGAAGTAGGAGTGAGGGCAGCGGTAAGGGCTGAGATAAGGGATGTGCGGTCAACAGAGGTAGAAGGAAGGGAACTGGGAAGGGGAGAGAAATCTAAGGCAGGAATCGGAGGGACAGCGGGGAGTGGGGAAATCGGGACAGGAGCGGCAGGAGCAACATTAGGGGGAGGAATCACGGGCATCCCTGGGGACACCATGGGTGGTGGCAATGAAGAAATCGGGGCAAGAGGGATAACAGGAAGAGGGGACCACAAAGCAAGGCTTAGTTAGCAGGCCACTCCAAAGAGTGTCATCTAACAACAATATTAGGTAAAAATGAAGAGTCAGGTAGGATTCTCTTAGGCTATGAAGGCCGCAAATAGCTCTTTTTTTTCGACAAGTACTTACTGACCCTATGTTTTCCCTATAGAAAAATAACAAAAGGCTAACAAGCACATCTGTCTGAACAGGCCTCAAACGCTTCACTCCGTGGGTATCCTGCAGTGGCTAGCCCACTACATCTCCCACAACAGACTTTTGCCCGTAGAGACAGACGCTATCCCTGACTCTCTCCCTTTCTATTTCATTGACCTTAGCTTTTTTTTGCAGTCTGAACATGGATATCATTATAAATAAAGTTATATAGTAATTGAAGTAAATTTACTGTCTTTCTTTGAATAAATCATTAACTATTGAGGTACTATCACCTATATTAATTAGACCATAACAATTACAATTATACCACCCTGTAACTTAAATGAATAACCAGTAGTGTCTAGGTTAATAAAACATGTCACAAATCCTTCTAATACTAAAACATTATTCAACATTAAGGATGTTACTGTAAACGTACAATCTATAACTAACAAGATTCGATTAAGTGAAGATACAATATTGAAATAAGATAAACAGGCCACTGCATAGGTGTAATTTCACAGAAACTTTTGGTGGTAGGTATAAAGAACTTGCATTATTTGGCTATTCCCCTTGTTGCAAGGCACAGGCTTTAATGCATATTAATATGTATAATCAGCTGTTATGCTCATATATTCATGTCCAACAGCTGCAAATGACATTTTAGCAAAAATGTATTTATTTATTTATGTATTTTCAATATTATTGTCACTGACACATTTCTGATACAGAGAGACAAATAGCATGATTGTTTTAGTAATTATAATTTTTCTGTTCATAATATGTAGAGTGTAAGGAAAACAACATGTCTCTAAATAGGACGAGCATAATAGGGGTAGGCCTCATGATGGAGGCAGCCATGACAGGGGCGGGGAAGGAAATGATGGCAAGGGAGGAAGTGAGGGGGGTGACGACCATGATATGTGTGTGAAAGGAAAAGACAGGAGGTGGGAGCATGGTAAGGGCGGAAGTGACGTTACTTTAGAAGCAAACTCGACTGTAGATAATGGTAATTGGGTGAAGGTCACGGGACTGGCAGGGCCAAACTCCTTCTGTACTAGGCGCCATCTTTAGGGAGGTGGCTGACGTACTTTCAACATTACACTATATTATAACTAATAAAATAAGTCAGTTTCGAAATGAAATACTAAACTATAAATAAACCTGGCAGGTTAAATAAGACAGTTAAGAACATTATGCATTTAACAGCCCATAAAGAAATATATATATACTCAATCTCAGCAACCATCGCTCACAGTGGCATACATACCAGGGCCGCCCCTGCGACCCGGTATGTACCCACTGGGCCAGCCTCTTCTCCTGGGGGGGCCCAGGAGCCAGCCACCCCAGGTCCCCCCGAGGCTGGCCCTGCTGACACCCGGCGAGCGGGCTGTCTGGGTGTCCGGTGCGCGAGGGAGCACTTTCCCCTGAGTGCTTCCTCTTCCGCTCCCTCGCGCGCTGTGGGGATGCCGGAGCCGGAAGATGACGTCATTTTCCGGCTCCGGTAACAGTGCTGGGGAAAGTGCTCCCTCGCGCGCCAGCCACCCAGACAGCCCGCTTGCCTAGGAGCCCCAGGAGCCCAGCAGCACCACCACTGGACCCCAGGGAATCCCTCCAGCACTCCAAAAGGTAAGGAGGCTGGGGGATTAAATTTAAAAAAAAAAAACATGTGTGTGTGTGTTAGTGTGTTAGTGTGTGTGTTAGTGTGTGTGTGTGTGTGTGTGTGTTAGTGTGTGTGTTAGTGTGTGTTAGTGTGTGTTAGTGTTAGTGTGTGTGTGTGTGTGTTAGAGTGTGTGTGTTAGTGTGTGTGTGTGTGTGTGTGTAAGTGTTAGTGTGGGTGTTAGTGTGTCTGTTATTGGGTGTGTCTGTTACTGAGTGTGTCTGATGTCTGTTAGTGAGTGTGTGTTTGTCAGTGAAAGTGTATGTTTTGTAAGTGAGTGTGTATGTATGTCTGTCGCTGAGTGTGTCTCTGTCAGTAAATGTGTGTGTCTGTTAGCTAGTGTGTATGCGTCTGTTCGTGAGTGTGTGTCTTCAGCATTTACCTTTCTCCAGCACTGGACTTCCTTGGCGCTGGGGATCCCTCCGCCGCTCAGCTCCGAATGCATTTAAACCGCCCATAGGAAAGCATTACTCAATGCTTTCCTGTGGACATTTAGTGTCTTCTCACTGTGATTTTCACAGTGAGAATCGCGGAATCTCCTCTAGCGGCTGTCAATCAGACAGCCACCAGAGGCTGGATTAACCCTCAGTGAAACATAGCCGTTTCTCTGAAACAGCTATGTTTTCAGCTGCAGGGTTAAAACTAGAGGGACCTGGAACCCAGACCACTTCATTGAGCTGATGTGATCTGGGTGTTTGTAGTGGTCCTTTAGGTGTGTGTGCAGCATACGGCGGTCACGGGGTCGCAGCCCTGCAACCAGGTGCCCACCCCCATGTGTTGCGGCCCGACCCGCGCCGAGTAAGCGCGGGGGGGGGGCCCACGGATCAATTTTTGCACCGGGGCCCCATGGGTCATGTGTATGCCACTGATCGTTCTGAGACACAAATATTAACATTACATGGCTGAGCGATCGCCCCCACATTCCTCACTGAATGCAGGCATATTACTCCTGCTCTTTTTTTCTTCAACAATATCACAAGCTAAAAGACCCTTTGAATGTCTAGCACATTCCTGTCCCATTTCTGGCTTTTTTTTTTTTTTTTGAAACAAGTTCTCCCTGTGGAAAGGACAGAGATAGGAAAGAAAAAGAAAGTCTATAGTGCTCGACTGCCACAAGAAACCAGTTCCTGTGCGTCTTCCCAAGTAGACTTCCCAAGTAGACTAGTCACAGGATCCGCTCACCCGAAGTGGTGACCGCGGATCAATACGGGCAAGTGTGGGTGACTAAACAGCTCTGGGCAACAAGTACAGATGCAGTAAAGAGTTAGGGAAAAAAGAAACATAGAGAAACTAATCAACAAACACTTACAGACGTCACAGACCTAAAAGTGTGCACACAATCCAGAATCAAGAACAACCCACACAACACAGACACAAACAACAAGGGTACCCACGTTATGACCACAACTAAACAAAAAACTGAGTAAGAACAGAACCAACAGAAACATAGACATATCAATAACCAATGGCAATAACCCCCACCCTCCCCCTTTTGAGCAGTATTCTCAGCCCGTCTCTGGGCTGACAACAAATCCCAACCCTTCTCTGGTTGGGCAACAGAAAATCTCTGCCTCACTCTAGGCAGACAAATCTCAAATAAAACAATAATATCCCAGCCTCTTTCTAGGCTGTCTTGAACCCTGCCTCTCTCTAGGCAGACAAATCACATATAAAAACAAATAAAACAATATCATTCCAGCCTCTCTCTAGGCTGTCTTGAGCCCTGCCTCTCTCTAGGCAGTGGTGATGTCCCGAACTGGTCGCCGAACGGTTCGCGAACGGTTCACCACGAACGGTTCGCCGCGGACTCATCATTGAGTAAACTTTGACCCTGTACCTCACAGTCAGCCAATCAGCAGCAGACCCTCCCTCCCAAACCCTCCCACCTCCTGGACAGCATCCATTTTTAAGCTGCATTCTTAGTGAGCTGTCCAGGAGGTGGGAGGGTCTGGGAGGGAGGGTCTGCTGCTGATTGGCTGGAATGTGTCTGCTGACTGTGAGGTACAGGGTCAAAGTTTACTCAATGATGAGTCCATGGCGAATCGTTCGTGGCGAACCGCTCGCGAACCGCTCGGCGAACCGTTCGGGACATCACTACTAGGCAGTCAAATCACATATATGTCAGGATTACTGTTTGATCCAGCATGTAGAACTGCACAGCATGGATGACAAATAAGTAACATATTACCGGTCCTTAGAATGGCCGGATTTAACGTACAAAGAATAGTCAAAAATACTAGCCGAGGTCAGGGAACACAGAAAGGGACACAGCGATGAGGAAAGCCAGGAGTCAGGATACCAGAATATAGAGAAGTCAATAAACAAAGCCAAAGTCAAAAACCAGATAGAAAACTATAAACAGGAACGCGCTCTCAGACAACCACAAGGGAAACCACGACAGGGCACTGAGTAGGCTGAGAACTGGGCCTAAATACCCCTCCTTTAGTTCTGATAGGCTGTAACCGGCCTTTGACCCCAAAGTCAGTTACCAGGTTTCATTTGCATAATTGCTGCTCAGCATTAACCCTTCTGTGGATTAGGTTGCTGCTCGGCACAACTTTTCCTGTGTGGACAGTAAATGTCATTAATCACTTTTCTCTAAGCGGATAAATACATGACACCAGGTTTCATTTGCACAATTACTGCTCAGCATTAACCCTTCTGTGGATTAGGTTGCTGCTCGGCACAACTTTTCCTGTGTGGACAGTAAATGTCATTAACCACATTTCTATAAGCGGATGAATATGTGACATTACCCCCCACCTGAAGAACGCCCACCGGGCGGACAGGACCAGGCTTGAGAGGAAATTTAGCGTGAAAAGCGCGGATCTTACGGCCCGCATGCAGGTCAGGAGCCGAAACCCAAGAACGATCAGCAGGACCGTAACCTTTCCAAACAACCAAGTACTGTAAAGTGCCCCGAGAAAACCTAGAATCCACGATAGAAGATACCTCATACTCTTCCTGACCACCCACCACCACCGGAGGGGGAGGAACACAAGGAACAGTATATCTATTGCAGACAAGAGGTTTGAGTAAGGACACATGAAAAGTGTTGGGAATCCCTAAAGATGCAGGAAGAGCCAGAGAGTAAGACACTGGATTGATCCTACGAAGCACTCTATAGGGACCAAGGAATCTGGGGGCAAACTTCATGCTAGGGACCTTAAGCTTGATGTTGCGAGATGACAACCAAACCCGGTCCCCCACTTGGTACACCGGGTTGGCACTCCTACGCTTATCAGCAAAATGTTTGAAGCGTTCAGCAGCAGCCCCTAGAGCAGTTTGAACCTTAACCCAGGTATCCCGAATGGAGGCCAGACGCTCATCCAGAGCAGGAATGGCAGTATCAGAAAATACCGCAGGGAGAACCGTAGGATGCCTACCATTATTGACAAAAAATGGACTGTGCCCAGAGGAGTCATGAACAGCATTGTTTCTAGCAAACTCAGCCCACGGGAGTAGTTCGGACCAATTGTCTTGTGTGCTATTAATAAAACAACGCAAATAAACTTCTAATGACTGGTTAGCCCTCTCAGCTGTACCATTGGTCTGTGGATGGTAGGAGGAGGAGAAGGAGAGATCAATCCCCAATTGTTTACTGAACGCCCTCCAGAACCTGGACACAAACTGAGAGCCCCTATCAGACACAATATTGTGGGGGATGCCATGCAAACGGACAATTTCACGTATGAAAATTAGGACCAAATCTTGCGAAGATGGCAACTTCTTGAGAGGAATGAAGTGAGCCATCTTAGAAAATCGGTCTACAACCATGAGAATAGTAGTGAACCCAGCAGAGCTAGGAAGCTCAACAATAAAGTCCATGGATAGGTGGGACCATGGAATCTCAGGAACAGGAAGAGGCTGCAACAGGCCACAAGGAAGTGCATGAGTCACCTTAGAAACTGCACACACAGAACATGCCTGCACATACTCCTTTACATCTTTCCTGAGTGAATCCCACCAAAATGATCTAGTGATCGCGGCAGTGGACTTATTGATGCCCGGGTGTCCAGCAGTTATATTGTCATGGAACACTTTCATGATATTAACCCTTTCACATAGGGGAACGAACAGTTTATCACACGGTTTACCACTGGGCGCCTGAGGCTGGGCCTCCAGTATGGTGCCAAGCAGTGGAGAAGACAGTGAGAGGACAGTAGTAGCAATAATACACTCTGCTGGAATAATAGGAGATGTCATCTGTTCCGGAGCTGACTCATTATCAAATTGCCTGGACAAGGCATCAGCCTTGGTATTTTTAGAACCAGGTCTATAAGTAATGAGAAAGTTAAAACGTGAAAGGAACAGTGACCATCTAGCCTGTCTGGAAGACAAACGTTTGGCATCCCCTATATATGCCAGATTTTTGTGGTCGGTTATGATCAACAGGGGGTCCTTGGAACCCTCCAAAAGATGTCGCCACTCCTTGAGGGCAAGAATAATGGCCAACAGTTCTCTATTGCCAATATCATAGTTGCGCTCAGCAGGAGACATCTTTCTGGAGAAGTAGCCACAAGGATGCAATGGTGTTCCCTGGCTTTCTCTCTGAGAGAGAACAGCCCCTACCCCTGTCTCGGATGCATCAACCTCCAATATAAAAGGTTTACTGGTGTCAGGATGTTTTAGTATGTCCGCAGAGGCAAATCTTTGTTTAAGAGTCTCAAAAGCATTCACAGCCTCTTTGGACCATACCGTGCTACTAACCCCTTTGCGAGTCATATTTGTGATTGGGGCTATTACAGAAGAAAATCCCTTGATGAATCTTCTGTAATAGTTGGCAAAACCAATAAACCTTTGAATGGCTTTTAAACCAGAGGGTAATGGCCAGTGTAGTACAGCCTCTAGTTTTTTAGGATCCATTTGAAATCCCGATGCAGAGATGTTGTAACCCAAAAAGTGGACTTCAGGCTGGTCAAATATGCACTTTTCTAATTTACAATAAAGTTTATTTTTCAACAACGTCTGCAGAACCTGTTTTACATGGGAGTGGTGAGTTTGAAGATCAGGGGAATACACCAAAATATCGTCCAAATAAACCAAGACAAATGAGTAAATGAATTCCCTGAGTACATTATTTATAAAGTCTTGGAATACGGCCGGGGCGTTGCATAACCCAAATGGCATTACCAGATATTCATAGTGTCCACTACGGGTATTAAATGCCGTCTTCCACTCATGATTCTCTTTAATTCTAACCAAATTGTAAGCGCTCCTAAGGTCAAGCTTAGTAAATACTTTAGCTCCCTGAAGTCTATCGAACAATTCGGAAATGAGTGGAATAGGGTATGCATTTTTTACAGTGATTTTATTAAGTGCCCTGTAGTCTATGCAAGGGCGTAACTCACCACCCTTTTTCTCAACAAAAAAGAATCCTGCACCAGCTGGTGAGGATGACTTTCTTATGTGCCCTTTGCTCAAGGATTCTTTGATGTATTCCTCCATTATTTTACTCTCCTGGGGAGATAAGGCATAAACTGCCCCCTTAGGTGGCATAGCACCTGGAAACAGGTTAATGGCACAGTCATATGCTCTGTGGGGAGGCAATACATCCGATTGAGCCTTGTTAAACACCTCCTGAAGTTCTCGGTATTGTATGGGAACTCCAGGAGTTTGGGGAGTGGTAGTGGGAAGGTCAATAGTATCCAATCTCTTTAGTACTGGTTTTATACATCTCCCCATACACTCTTTACCCCATTCTAATATCTCCCCATTAGCCCAGTCAATATAGGGATTGTGCTTACTCAGCCACGGAAACCCTAATATGATAGGACATGATGGAGAAGTAATAACCTGAAACGTCATCTCCTCCCTATGGGAGGCCCCAATGGAGATCGTAATAGGGACAGTTTCATGGGTTATAAGCGGTTGTGTGAGTGGTCTACCATCAATAGCCTCTACAGCTAGCGGCGTAGGTCTCTCCCTGACCGGTATCTCATTACCCCTAATAAACTGGACATCAATAAAATTTCCAGCAGCACCTGAGTCCATTAGGGCACTGCAAGAAAACTTATTGTTATCAATGGAAATAGATACCTCAAGGAGGAATCTACTTTTGTTTTTGTTAGAGGACAACTCCATCACACCTAAGATCTGTCCCCTTAAGGTTCTTAGGTGCGGAAGTTTTCCGGACGCACTGGACAATTAGTTATTATATGTCCCTTTCTACCGCAATATAGGCATAACCCCTCCCTTCTCCTATACTGTTTTTCGGCCTCTGACAGTCTAGTGACCTCCAACTGCATAGGTTCGGGTTCGGACTGTACAGGGAGGTTAGACAAAACAGGTTTAGAAAATTGAGGTGCTAGGTACATAGTCGTACGTCTGGTCTTGCTTCTGGTGACTTCTCTGAGTCTTAACCTATTATCAATATGCATGACAAACGTAATAAATTCGTTAAGACTCTTAGGTAATTCTTTAGCGGCTATCTCATCTAGTATAGTCTCTGAGAGACCCTTTTTGAATGCTGAGATTAACCCATTGTTAGTCCAGTCTACCTCGGAAGCTAAGGTACGGAATTCAATAGCATAATCCGAGATAGACCGGTTACCTTGTCTGATGTGCATTAGGGCAGTGGAGGCGTCATCCTCTCTACCCAATGGCTCAAACGTGAGCTTGAATTCGGCAAGGAATTCCTGGTAATTATGAGCTATGCTCCGATTACTCTCCCACAACGGATTAGCCCAGGCAAGGGCCTTGCCCTTTAATTGATTCATTAGATAACCAATTCTTGCTCTGTCTGTGGGGAATGACCCTGGTGAGGCCTCAAAATGGTACTCCACCTGAATAAGAAAACCCCTGCATTCCTGGATATTGCCATCAAACTGTAGGGATGGTGATAAGGAGATGCAAGGAGTCCTATTAACAGTGGGTGGAGGTACACAGGGTAGAGGTGCTATAGGAGGAGACGCTGCAGGCTGCAGATGCTCCGTTCTAGCGAGAAGCGTACTTAAAGCCTGAGTGAATTGATCCATGCGGTGATCATT